GGGATACATAACACAATCATTCCATTGTTTTATACATCATTGGTTCTGGATGGATTTACTAAAGATCCTAGAGAAAGGGACCATTTTTACCCACCCAGTCTTGTGATTGAACACATTAGAATCATAGGAATCAATTCAGTCATGTATTTGGGTTCAAAAGTTTATTCTGTAATTCTACTGGGAAGATTAAGATTAAAAAGATGGAAGCTAGGATTATAAATGTGTATGAGTCCAGGTAGCTGCCTCTGCTATGAACTACTATTGATGGGATGGAATGGAAAGTCACTTTGATCAAAGGATGCCTTGGAAGGAGGTAGAAACTGATTAAGAGAACGTCTTATTTCTAAGATGAAGAATACTATTGACATAAATTTAGTCTCCTGATGTCCTACTCTGAATTGAGCAATGTGCTTTTTGATGTATGAATCTTGGTGTACTAGACAATTTTATTATTTAATACTCATGTCACCTTTATAGTCTAATTCCAAATATTCTTGAAATAAAAATAATCATTGAGATGTATTAATTCATAAAAACTGTTATAAATTAGGGAATTAATGGAGGCTATAAATAGGTGTATATTTGTATGTGCTAGTTTGATTTTGTTGTGTTGTTCCTTTAGTAAACAGAGATGGTCAAGAGTTAAAATAATCAGGGCTCCCAGGAGGATTTCTATTCATCACCAAATTGGCCTGCACCATACTCATCTAAATTGCACATTGAGACTCAGGTCAGATGTAATTTGATTTCTATCATGTTTGGGGTCATTAAGCAAACTATAAAATAAAGTTCTGGAGAAAAATGTGACATGATTCTGGGAATACAACAAAAATCTATGGGTCAATTAAGTAAAGATTTATTGAGAAAAACCGTATCTTGGGCTTGGCAGTGACAGTGCTTAGGAGTATGTTGAAGTTGCTTGATACGAAGATTGGTGTCAAACAATTCTGCTGTATTGACACAAAAGCCTTATGATTCCAGATGTACCAGACAAGATCCTAACCAGGAGTTCTATGGGTCTTAAGTCACAGACTCTGTGTTGGTTCCCTAGGGCTACCATAACAAAGTACACAAACAGGGTGTATTAAACAACAGAATTTTATTATCTCACTGTGCCTAAGGCTAGAAGTCTGAAATCAAGACGTTGGCAGAGTTGATTCCTTCTCAGGGCTGTGAGGAACAGCTTCTGGTGGTTTGCTGGCAAGCGTGCTTGGCTTGTAGACTTATCACTTAAATCTCTGCCTTCATGTTCATATGGCACTCTCCCTGTGTGTATGTCTGTGTTCCGGTTTCCTGTTTTTATTGGGACATCAGTCATACTGAATTAGGGAATCCACCCTATTCCAGTTTGACCTCATCTCAACAATTACAGCTGCAAGGACCCTATATCCTAACAAGGCCACATTCTAAGATACTGGGACTTGTATTTATGTTTTGTTTTTATTTTTTCCCAGTGGTAGTAATGGGTAATTTAAATGGTTAGGAACCATTAATCTCATCACTAAGGAAGATTTATAAGCATGAAGAAATATCTAACTTTGAAAAAACATAGAAGGAGAATGTGACAATAATCTCAGGAACTCAATATTAATTGCCTCCAACAGTCTCTACCCACATTAATTATGGAGTCTCTACTCATTTGATGGAGCTGAAGTGGGTATTAAAGTTTAAATAAAGTCTGTATTTTTCTTATGAGTCTAATGAGGATATATATTTCACATAGCTATTTAATATCACTTGGAGTCAAAAGTGAGAAGAAAGAGAAGGATAAGCAGTTGCAGTTGAGATAATGATAATTTGACTATTTCTTAGGAGATCATAGAGGATGGAATACAGAACTTTCCTAGAGTAAGGTG